CCAGACAGCGGCACTACGGCCTACTCTTATATCGAATTCCAAATGTCAAGGGATCCACCGGGACCACGGTTTTTCTTCCCATCCGAACGACTAGACAGCTTTCCTTGGCAGGCCTTCCGACTGCATAATTGACAAGGGGGAACCACGCTGGATAAATCGGGATGGAGTTTCTCGGCCAATGCAGGGATCGAACACCCGACCTCTAGGCTAGCGAGCCAGCGTCTTACTCACTTAGCCAACGTGACCGGCCACACATCTTGATTGCAGCAGGGGCACACCACGGTTTTTCTTCCCATCCGAACGACTAGACAGCTTTCCTTGGCAGGCCTTCCGACTGTATAATTGACAAGGGGGAACCACGCTGGATAAATCGGGATGGAGTTTCTCGGCCAATGCAGGGATCGAACACCCGACCTCTAGGCTAGCGAGCCAGCGTCTTACTCACTTAGCCAACGTGACCGGCCACACATCTTGATTGCAGCAGGGGCACATCACACTCACCTTTCCGCGATCAACGACCTAAAAAGTCTCTCAAATTCTAATTTGCGCCATTCACAGTCACTATTTAAAGACAACAGTCCAATGCCACAGTCGAAGCGTGTTATGAATATAATTGCCTCAATCCGCGTCACATATGGAGATCCTGTTTTACTCGGCAAGATGATCTGATGAGTAGGCTGTGACAGTATACTTTTAACATGTCTAATGATAAGACATGCCATTCCAATAAGGGGTTCCCCCTGTTGCTAAATATAGATAGAGGACTTGGGTATTATGGGATAGAGCCTCCATCTTGTCAGCAAGCATTCGGTTGATATCATTTGTACTGTTTATGTGCTATACTACATAACAAATATACCTAGCCCAACGTTTTCTCTATATACAATGACCGTCCACATAGACGTAGACATTTGTCACACTCTTTCAACCCTACTAGTTATCAGTCACCTTATGATGCAAATACGTCAGATTTTCAGTAAAATACAATTACACCAATTTTATTTTTTGGTTTTTTTGGTCTTTTTTGTTTTTATGACCAAGTAGCATGCGAACCCTACCACCAAAGGGGGATCACGTGGCTAAGACGCTGGTTGGCTAGCCTGGAGGTCGGGTGTTCGATCCCTGCATTGGCCGAGAAAGTTCATAGCACACTGTATGTCGTATGCCCGTCTTCATTAGCCCAGCATAGGAGCAGAACAGTAGGACGTTAAACCCCATTTTATTTTATTTCCTACCACCAACCTGTAATCTGATTGTAGATTCGTAATCTTCACAAACAGTTCTTTAAGACAGGGGGGTTGGATGGCTGAATGGTTAGCACGTGCGAGCTGTCATGTCATGGAATGACCCAGATAGAAAATCTCTGCTTATTTTATTTGATAGTGGTGCTTCTAAATCATTTATTTCACAATCCGCTGTTAATTCTTCTCCTTATTTTTCAACTTTACCTGGGTCGCCTGTCCAACCTCGTGGGTTTTCTCCGGGTCCCTCGGTTTCCTCCCACTGCTAAAGACCCCTACGCGTAAGCGAATTATTAAAATATAAAAATTATACCATATGTTAGTACCGAAATTACCTAGTTTGTGCCGAGTTGTCATCTCTCTCTCTCTCTCTCTCTCTCTCTCTCTCTCAAATTTACCTGTACATAAGTTAGTAAAGTGTTTGGAATTTTGTATGGTCAAATGTTAAGTTGTTCAACTTTCATGTTTATACAAGTCTTTAGTCAAGGTTATTCGTTTCGTTTAAAGCTTTATATTGCCCCAAATTTAGTGGGTTTTTCGTTTCGTTTAAAATTTTAATATTGCCCCAAATTTAGTGGGTACTGATCTTATTTTTGGTCAGGATACATTATCAAAGTTACAGGGTTCCATGCATTTTTAGGATAATGTATTTCGGTGTAAGCCTAAAAGAGACAACTTTTCCCCAACACCCAATGTCACATTAAGCCAGGTGATGCACGCCATGTCGCCTTATATGGGAATCGCGAAGTCCTTCTTCAGAAGACATCCGATAACACATGTTCAAACCCTTTCTAGTCAATTGATGGCGGAAGAAATTATACAGCTGCATATATTGCAACTCAGACCAGGGGTAGTAACGTAATGACTTCTACCTGGTCGTTGGCCATGTCAGACCTGCAGTGCCAGTGTCGGCCATCTGTGGGTCATAATCTGATAACATGTTAAGTGACATGCGCGCTGTATCATAAAGTCTGTCATTGAGTCGACTGGCGTGGTTTCGAATCCCCGGTTGTACGTGGCAAGGAGTAGGGTCGCCTGTCCAACCTCGTGGGTTTTCTCCGGGTCCTCCGGTTTCCTCCCACTGCTAAAGACCCCTACGCGCAAGCGAATTATGTAAATAAAATTAAACCATATGTTAGTCCCGAAATGACCTAGTTTGTGTCGAGTGGACGTTAAACCCCATTTCTCTCTCTCTCTGTTAAGTGACATGTCGCTCGTATGACCCATCGCTACAACCGGTCGGATCTTCATGTAGTGTAGGCCATCGAAAGTATAAAAAAACGAAACGAAATATAGATCTATATTTCGTTTCGTTTTTTATACTTTCGATGGCCTACACTACATGAAGATCTAACAAGTTATAGTGGGAGTTCACGTTCTATGACGTCAGGTATTCGATTAACCAATTAGCGACCACCATGTATTTTTTTATCTACTTTTGCTTTGTTTTGATTTCTATTCCCGCTAATGTCTACCCCACAGGTTCCGCGCAAAAAAAGGTCAAACGATCGATTCGACAGACCATTTGATTG